TTGACCAGAAAATTTTGAACCACCCAAATGTGGAACCGCCCAAGATGATTTATTTTACAAAAAGGATTCTCTGTTCTTGCTGTAAAGTAAATCTGAAGAAAATGAGAAATTATAGGATTAGAAATAATAAACAGAAAGAAACAAGCGCTAATTCCAGTTTTTCTCCATTTTTTCCTGTGAGAAGAGAGGAAAATAACTATAATTTTCTCTCCTTGCTCTTCCAGAGGAAAAAAAAGAGGGGAAAATGAGGAGAGAGAAAATCGATGTCTGCCCTCGCGAAAAAGAAACAAAGATGATCCGCGATCCAATAATCCACGCAAAAATTATTCACAAATGATTCTGCACGGGATAAAGCCTGTTCCTTCTCAAGGACGAACGTCTCGGCGATGCGTAAAAAAGTTGGACTGCAGCCCGAACGAAGAGTTTTTAATCGGTTTCATGGGACTCATCTCATGGGATTCATCTCATGGAACTCATCTCATGAGACTCATCTCATGGGACTCATCTCATGGGACTCATCTCATGGGACTCATGGGACTCAGTTGGTCTCATCGGCTGACGAGCGATCGACGATGGACTTTTTTTTTTAGCCCCAGGGAGGACGACTGATTCTGGACGAATTTCGAGCGATCAGGGAGAGGATCCAGCGTTTTTTTCGTGGATTCCTGGAGCCTGAGACACTGTACAGGATAGTGCAACATCATTTTGAAAGTCACTCACAAGTGACCGTGCAGAGAACTTTCGAACACGAGACTCTCCCTGTAAATCCACTATTGTGCGCTACGTTGCCGAATTTAGGGAAGGGGGATCTGTGGCTGATAAGAAGAACAACCGCACACTATCAGTGCGAACAGTGGAGACGATAGCCGCCATAAGCTCAGCAATTGAGCAAACCCCAAAGAAATCCATTCGTCCACGTCGAGCCAGACAGGTGAGGGTGCAACAACGATCCGAACAACAGACAAACATGTGGATTATGCGGCGAACAGTTGCGCAGAACAGGTGTGCAGTTATTGCACCCAGACCTGTCTGGCTCATGGGACTCCATGTACGAGGTATTACGTTAAGACGAAGCAAAGTAGAGTTAGCCCCCACGACGACGGAGGCAGCCTCCCTTACGCGGCGCCAGGGTAGCAACATGCATAGGGGTGTTTCGCGTCTCACTAGCCTCTCCCGTCCTTCCTCCCTTCCGCACTTCCCCGTCGTGGCAATGCCGAGAAAGGAAAATCGTGGACCCAGCCGGAACTGGCAGGCGCCTGAGGTGGACATTCTTTATTAAATCGCCGTGATGATAGTTTCGCGAAATTTCCAGGCCTCTTGTCCATCTGGATAGCGCTAGCAAATTACTTGTTTAAGTTTTAAACTTTTAACTTCTTTTTTTTTTTTTTTTTACATGCATGCCCCCTTCGGGTCTCATTTCACACGAAGGGGAATAAACTAAAACTAATAGTACTGTACAGGGTATATTCATTTAGACAAAAAATATAGTGATGTTCTCTTGTAGTGACAGTTTTTCCCCATTAACTTGGTTGTGTTTGTCTCATTTAAAAGAAGCGAACGCCCGCTCGCGCCACACGCACGGCCCCTTGCGTCGCCGAATCAAAATGGGATCGGACATCATTTGGCCCACTACCTGTACCTGTAGCAACATGCGTGTGCCTACGTACCACACGATTTCATGGTGCTTGCAGGTTGCCGAATTCCGACTTCATTTGCTTGTTGGCAACCGTTTACTTTTGGCCGTGTAGTGCATGAACAAGCATATAAGAGGGGTGACTGAAAAGTTTTCGGCCTACGTAGGAAGGGAATAGGCAAGGGGGTGTCGTTTATTTACATCGTAGCTTACCATCTTGCGATTAAGTGTACACAGTTTCACAGTGGCGTAACTAGGGGGGAGGGGGGGGGGCAAATGGGGCGGTCGCCCCGGGCGCCACAGTCCAGAGGGCGGCAAAATAGCCTTTCAAAAAAAAATTATTTTAAAGAAGCAAAATTTCGGAAATTTTTTCATTTTGCCGATTTTGCGATTTTTTCCCGTTTGACGCCCTCAGTTCAGAGGGCGGCAAAACTGACGCATATAGCATTTTCTTGGGTAATAAAAAAATACAATTTTACTATTGATACGTATCCGGCATGACGCATGCTGGTAGCTCGGTTAGTAGTGCTGGGGCCGGCAGTCACGAGTCACTTTCCTCAGTCAAGTTCCAACACGAATCCTAACCCTTCTGTGAAAAAAGGCGGGGTTGAAAACCAATACATCCAGTACTCAAGTAACGGTTTATGCCACAGACTCACAGCTTGCAGCAGTGAACACCAGTGTGACGAAATCCCGGAATATGTATAAAGTTCAGCCCGTCAATGAATGAGTCATTCAATCGTTGAAGAATTTGTGTTCATCAGCTAGTTTGCGTTTTGTGTTCGTCAATTTGGGTACTTTGCTATTTGCCGCCCAGGCTCCCATATAGTCAAAAATGAAGGACAGAAATCAAGTGGCGCCCAATTTAGAAAACTGGCAGCGAAATGAGCAAAAGCTGCGGCGAGTTCCAAAGATTTTATGGAAGCTTTTGTGAAAGCAGGGAAAGATTCTGCACCAGTTTCTGAAAATCAAGGTAATGAATCTGTTGTTCCAGAAAATTCAAACAATGAACTGGAAGTTACTAGTCATTCCAGTCACCTAGAAAATGACCCCAATTCGCCACAATTTCTGTAACATTCAAGTGATTTGACAACTACTGATAATGAGCACGATGAACTGCAACAGTTCAGTCCGAATTTGCAGGAAACAGAAGTATGTCAAGAAGGCGGATAAACTGAAAATACAAGCAATGGCAGTAGCAAAGTAGCCAGCAAGAAAGAAATCAGCAAAGCTCCAGCTGCAAAGAAACAAGTGCTTGTCAATGTCAGTGATGAAATTGTAGATAGTGCACCGTTTCAAGACACGGGAGCTAGGCCAATTCGGATTTCTGCTTCTTTTCGAAATCTTATGGTAAAGAGAGGAACTGACGAACTGCAGAATAGTGATAGTATATTTCCGACAGAGGAAAGAAGTGGACGATCTTTATCTAAAAAGTGGTTTGAAAAAACACTGCAAAATGGCGAGAAGATGTAGCTTACCTGGATGTGTTACTCTCCCAAGAAAAAAGCACTTTTTTGCTTCTGTTGTAGTTTGTTCAATCGCGATAGTCCTTCTAGTCAGCAAAGCAGTTTTGATCTTGAAAAAGGGTTTTCAAAGTGGCAGAAACTAAACCCACGCATCCAGAATCATGAAAGCAGCTCTGCACATCGCTCAGCATTTTTAAAATGGAAGGAGTTAGAGCGTGGATTGAAAAGGGGCGGGCTTCTTGATGACCACGTTCAGTCGCAAATTGCCAATGCTGCTCAGAAGTGGAAGCAAATTCTTGTGAACGCTCTTTCAGCAAAATGAAGCTGATTAAGTCGTACCTGCGATCTACAATGTCTCAAGAAAGACTTACAAGTCTTGCTATCCTGTCAATCGAACATCAAGTTGCTTCTTCCGTTGATTTCAGCGAAGTTATGAAAGATTTTGCAGCCAGTAAATCAAGAAGAGCTGCATTTTGATTAGAGTCGTTTGTTTGTAAGAATTTATTTTGATAACATTATTTGTGCTGAGAATCAGTCCTGAATAACAGAAATATTTAATAAATCTCATTATCCAGTAAAACGTATGTGCATGTGAATATAATTAGCAAAGGGAGTATGGGGGAGTATGGAGTATGGGGGCGGCAGTAACAGTCACTCTCCCCGGGCGGCAAATTACCTAGTTACACCACTGCAGTTTCATGACAGCACTCCCAGCGGTTCATTTTCAACAAGTCATCGCTAGTGCTCTTGTGTAGCCGTCAGTCGACATGGAGAAATTTGAGCACCGGTCCTTTTTCATAACTGCGAAAGACATTCACGCGGACGTGCAGCAGACGTTAGGAAATGATGCACCGAGTTATTCGACAGTGAAAAAGTGGGTAGAAAATTTGAAGTGCGAAAGAGAGCTTGGAAGACGAACCCCACGGTGGACAAACTGTCTAAATCTAAATTTTAAAAAAAATTAAGTAAAACTGTAACATATCCCCAGAAAGTGTCAGAAAGGAAACGGGAATCTTTCCCCCCTCCAGCCGCAGACAAACGAGTCTTATTCGTCGTTCGTAAACTACACACTATCGGCGGCCTGGAACTGGCAAATTGAGCGTTTTGCCAGGTGCGTTTGCCGCAAAAAAATTTCCAGGAGGAATGATGAGGATGACCTTCATCTCGATCCTAACAAAAACGCACCTGCAAAAACGATCCCAGATGAAAGTTGGTCTACGACAACACGAAAGGGTGAGAGCACACTATATAAAGGGGGCTGGAACAACGAACGAGAACTCCAGTGGACTCATGATGGACTTCACTTCCGCCGTTCTCGCTTTCCTCGTCTTCGCTCAAGGGAGGGTATGAATGGATTCCTTCTCTCCGATTATAAGGGTCACCTTGTCGCTTCCTGTGGGACGGTTCCATGTAAAACACGGAGACGGATTTTATTAACTAACTAACTTCATTAATTAATTAATAACTAAATATAAAGGAGGATGCCAAAAACCGCCCCCTCGTGACAAACCAAAATAGGTGTCAATCGATAGATTATGATGAGTAGATCAAAGTTGTCAATGGGCACAAATATGGCAGAGAGCGCCATCATCGAGTTACAGGTCATCAAAGTTCAAATCTTCTGTTGTTAATTCTTTTCCTGCGTTTCAATATATATTAAACCTGGTAATAGATGTAATCGCTTTTAAAAAATTAGAATAAACCGTCTTCTTCATCGTCCGTCATCGTTCAAAAATATTCAACAAGAAGAATTCTACGATACCATTCTCAAGTATACTATGTTGTCCGTAAATATATTTAAAAGGAAGTAGACAGAGATGATAACTATCTGTGATCCGCGGACCACCGAGCCCACGGACCTTCTATGAGAGCAAAAGGGAGTTAGAGAACCAATGCACTAGATGGAGACGTGGGTCTCGCTTTCCGCACACTACGCAAAAGTACCCTTCCCTCTTTCCTTGGAATCGTCCATTACAGGAGTGATTGTACCGCACCATACATCTCGTCTAATTTCATTACAGAAATGTATAAACGCGGACACTTCATCATTTATTATCCCCATATTCAAGACAGATTCATTGAGCCCAGGAACCCCCCAAACAGGCTCATATTCCCCCATAAGAATCCTTTAATTTAAAAGGGCAATCTCATCAAAAAAGGAGTTCTAGAACAACAATGTGTTCATGCATGCACTTTTCCAGTTCTTCGTCCTGAAGTCGGAATGAGGAAACTAGGAATGGAATTCGTGTATACTCCATGGAACATCAGGGGATGGACCTTTCCCTGAGACGTACTATAATTAGAACCATAATTAGTATTATGAGTAGGTTACGCTGAAAAAGCGGACATATGGAGTGGCACGTGTACACACCTCGTTCGTACTGTGCTTGCACATGTAGGTATTCAACAATGGCTCCGCTTGTCATGATTGTGATTTGCCATACACATAAGTCACATTTGGCCCACAGATGTACTAGACTGGGTGCCATAGAAAACGCGGACATTTAGGTTATGCCCTATGCATATTACACCCGTGTCGAACGTGTACATGTGCGGCTCGTGAACGTGGGCCAAGCTTGGAACATCTGACCGTGCGGAGATAAACACACTTGGCCTGGGGATAAATTGCTGACTGAGGAGGCTAACTTGTATTGCTAACTTGTGAAAGATTCCACTGAAATATATTCTATTCGGCTTGTGACTGGCTTTCTTCTTGCTTTTGACGTGAAAATCATTATCGGGGCGTCGATTCAGACATCGAATATCTTCATTTCGTTACGCCTCACCTCGGATTCCAAGCCATTCCACGAGTTCCTTTTGCCAAAAAACGTCACGAAGATAGATGTTTAGAAGCGGCTGGACGACATCGCCAGCTGTCCAGAGCCACGAATCCGACAAGAACAACTCTTCTCATTTCCAGGGGGAAGACGGCGATGGGGTTGGAGGATGGAGAGACGCCGATGGAGGACTTCACTCTTTGGGACTTCGAGCAGGTCTGTTGAAGGAAGAGGAAGCGGTTGGGGCATGCGCGATGGAATCTCATTTGTCGTGCGGTTTAGTTTTCGAGGTGCTGCCGTATTTAGTGAGTCATGTCGATTTCGGTGGATATGTCACGCTATATGTCTTGATATTCCGTGGAAACGCTCGTGTATGTAGCATCCATGCCATTGTTTGGCTAGGCTTTAAAGCACTTTAGATAGCTCTTCAAAGCATGAGAAACTTACATGGCATACTTTTCCCCACAGTACCTATTATTGCTGTAGACTGTAGAGAGACGACAATTTGAACTTTTTTCGTGCATTATCCCATTTGTGCCATATCTCTATCTGTAGGATGGTAAGAGAATCTATTTAAATTTCCCCCTCCCCCAACGCCGACAGATCCAGTCGCCACGACACCTTACATGCTCCTGCAGCGCTTCCAGGCCACGTCCGGCATCGCCCAGCACCCAGAGGTCCAGGTCTTGGTTCCCTCAGGATGGAAGGTCATTTCGGGGGGTGCCGTGGCTCATTACAATGCAGATGGAGCTCTCCTCACCAAGTCGATTCCGCTGATGAACAACAGCGTCCCTCAGGGTTGGATCGCGGCTTCCAAAGATCACGGAAACTACGATCCCCACACGTTGACCGTTTATGCCGTCGCTTTGTACGACCCAAATAACGACTGGGACGTGACCGTCAACGTGGCACAGCTCGGTTCACCGGTTCCATTTCCTGAGATCAGCGTGATGCTTCAAGACGGTTACGCACTGACGGGGGGTGGCGCATTCGACGTGTGGACCGGACAGGGCAACCTTCTCGTGAAAAGTCGACCCGGCGACGACAGCCAGTCGTGGATAGCAGGTGGCAAAGAACACAGAGCCTCGTCTCCGGCAACCATGAAGGCCTACGCAATCGGCGTGCGCACGAGTGCGACTCGATCGACCCCAACCTGCGCTCTCAATTCCGCCACGTCACAGACGGCGCAACATCCCAACGTGACGGTGGCTGCAACTTCCGGAAGAGTAATCGGTGGGTTCTTTCTGCTATCCTGCAATAAGTGGTTCCGGGATGTGTTTGAGAGTGAGGCAATAAGCAGCGACGAATGGCATGGTACACTCTTAGGAAGCATTTTTTTTACTCGGAAAATTATTGATATCCATGCCCTCTATGAATTGCGCGACGATACTATTTATCTGCTGGGAAATATACTGTACCACCTGTCACGTCAATCCAATGGAGGATGATGATTGAGGGGCAAACATCGGTGGCGGTTCGTGATATTTAGCGCTAGTGGTTCGTCTATGGAGAGGGAGTCGGCAGTGCCCCCCCCTTCCCCCTCCTGCCTATCCCCTCTTCATAGACGAACCACTAGCGCTAAATATCACGAGCCGCCACTGAAGACTTATCAAGGCATAGTTTCAGCATGTTTCCTACGAGACACTCATCCATTCCTAGTCTCTTGAAGACTGCAAATAACGGGCCAAATTTAGTCGAAATCGATATCTGTCAAAAATCACGTTCTCCGAGACAGGCTCCTAAGTAAGCTCGGCAAGTGGGCATCCCACCTCGTGCAGTTCATATTAGTCATCGGTATGAATGAAGAGCCCATACGGAAGAGACTTTCGCTGCCTCTTCAGCCTACCCTGACAAGCTACCACGTTTACCAAGTAGGTCAAATAAATCACAAGCCATTTAGAAAAGATGATGACTCGATACAAGACATTTGAAGCCCTATTTCCAACCCGATAAATGGGGTATAATTTCGTATACGTGGAGTTCGTTTGCGAGTAACGTGAATGACAACGACGTCTCGTGCACGCTGTATTGCTCAGTGAGAGATGTTCGAGATTACTTGGATCTTCCTTCAGTCGGAGGCGGAGCAGCAGTCAGCCAGGCTTCAGGCTTGGGAAACATGCTGGTGGGACTCATTCCCTCGAGTGACGGATCCAGCTTCTCTGCCATGTCGAAGGACCACATGTCCTACGATCCCGAGAGGCTCACCGCGTACGCCATCGAATGCACGAATGCAGGTTACGGTACCACCACCACCACCCCCCCACCAACGACCACCACCACCCCCCTACCAACGACCACCACCACCCCCCCACCAACGACCACCACCACCCCCCCACCAACGACCACTACCACTCCCCCACCAACGACCACTCCCAACACTGCAACGACACCCTCTCCCCAGCCGCCCGTTCCACCCTGTGGGTCGCAAATCAACATGACCTCGGGTAACGAATCCAAGCTCGTCAGCGCCAACTATCCCAACAATTTCCCGATTTGGTCCTCCTGCACTTGGCTGTTCACGGTGAGACGCGTCATATTCTTCCTGGCTGAACGAAATCGCATTTCCTCTCTCTAGTGCGACTCAATATTTTCCGTCATTCAAGGAAATGTGGCAATAGCTGTTTTTTTAGTTTTGGAAAAACGTGCCTTCCGAATACAAAATGTTAATTATCGTGGGATGAAGAATTAGGAGCATGAATTTTTGCATGAGATTCGCCCTTCGGCAAACCCGTTAGAAGAACCTCCTGTCGGCAATAATCTGCATTTTCCCAATAGGATCGGTGATTGTGTTACCTCGGGATCGTTCCCATGAGTAGGCAAAATATTCGATAGGTCTGAAAAAAAAAGATGGATTGGCGATGATCTCATGTGTTCAACATTCTTCGCGGCGAAAAACACTGGCGTGGTGTGAATTTCATCAAGGCCTGAACTGTTAGCGACTGACTCTCGCCTCGCGAACGAGAGCCCCTCTCCAGCAGCAAAATGTATTCTTTCCGACAGACAAAACAGAAAGTCGACGGAAAAGGATCGCGCAACCGCCACGCACCAATGTCACGCTAATCGCGGTCGACGGCGTGCCCTCAGCGTTTTCATCTCACGGGACCGATGGCTTCCGATCGCGATGGGTTCGCTCGTTCGTTCCAAATGTCGGCGTTCGTGCCGAGCGAGGTTGTCGATGTCCGAACGGCGTGATTTTTCGGTCGAATGGTCTCTGGGGGGGAAGGGGCAGCAGGATGGATAAACTCTGGGGTTGCGGGAAATTCGCAAAAAAAAAATTTTGAGTCCTGTACTTAGATGAGAGTGCCGAAAAACCGGTCGCATTTTTTCAACTTTTCGTTTTTTTGGAGTCATCGCTTGTGATGGCTTGTGATGACTTGTGATCGTCGTGATTGATATTTGTCTCAGTGCCCGGGAAATATGATCCTGAAATGCGGGACCTTCCAACTTCCTTCCTCTTATGGCTGTTATAAATCCGCCTTCATCTACAACTGGAAAAGGTAAGGATCACGAATTGAGAAATAGAGATAATCTGCATTCCTGATCTATTGGAGTCGGTCGCTTATTTGGGGACCGATACCTTGAGCAAATATGCCTCCGAAAACTTTTTCCTTACTCGCTTTTTCTCTCTGGAGCGATGTGCACCGGTTGCACGTGGAGGTCGCCAATATCTGCGGCAGAATTTCTTATTGCTCATTGAATGCTTGAAGTCGGTATTACGCATCCCTTCCGAAAATGTCTGAAATGAAAAGGAGCATAAAGGAATCCAATAGGTTCCTATAGGCCCCATAGGGTTCAGTTTGGGACCTATATGGTTCCCTATAGAACCTATAGGGCCTATACGGAACCATATAGGCCAATAGGGTTCCGTTTGAAGTTCTCCTCTAGGCCACTAGATGGAGGTATTGGGTGCTCGCATTTCTCAAAGACACAAAAGTGTCCTCCCCTTACCCATGGAATCATCTCTCACAAGAGAATTTTATATATCCCCAAATGTCTCGCCTTACCTCATTGTATCAATCAATAAACTTGGACACTTCCTCATTTGTCATCCCCATCTTCCAGATAAAATCATGGTGTCCAGGCAAGAAATATGCCCATTTTCCGTTTGAAAACCGCGTACGAATATAAGTACACGCATACTCTATCCGAACGGAGATTCCGTGAAGGACTTGCTCGTAGGTTCTGTCTTCTGTTTCCTTAGGTCGAGAGGAAAATGAGACTTTGCTCTACCGAAGGAAGTGGGTGCGCATTCTAGCGAGATATGTTGGCCTTGGCCATAAATTATGCACACCTCGCCGTACAGGTATTAATAATGCTAGTTTCCCCACCATGGGAAAACCTCTAATCGGTAATTGATTTACACCAAAATGCTGGGTCAATATTAACCCCGGTCGCCCTTTCCGTCGTAATGCCGGAGTTTTGAAACTTATAAAATCCTCCCCGAATCCCATATGTCAGGAGTCCTCTTCGATCCTATAGGGATCCTATAGGATCCTATTGGCTTTTCGTGTTTCAAAAACCTATAGGACATTTCCGTAAGAGTTGCACCAATATCACAAAGTCCCAGTCCCGTGAACCGAAGCAAAGAAGGAGTCTGGGGGTCGCTTCCCGCCGGATGAGTCACGAGGTACTTGTTACTTCTTGGTACTCGCTGGTACACCGCGACCGAATGCAGGCGGCGGGCCGTCTCTGGCCTGGTTTATCACATTTCTCATCTGGTGCTCTTGCGATTCCCGGTGAATTTCTAATGATCGATTTCTCGGGGTCTTCTGTTGGTCTAACCTTACTCGCCGTTTCAGACGACTTTAGAAAAATGTTAAGTTTTCGCATCATGCGCAGGAGATATTTTTACAAGTGAAATGGAATCATTTTGCATTAAAAAATAAAATACGATAATAATTAGACACGATAGCAGGAGATCATCAGAGACCAATTTACCGTCTGAGGTTCTTGAAGCAAAAGTGAAACACCTAGCTAGGTGTAAGTTCCTCTCTTACCGCGATATACGATATTTACGCATTTAAGAACGTATTGCATTTGAAGCAAAACTTTCTTGTTCATCGGAGGTATCGCATACGGAAACGGTATAGAGTAAACAAAGATAATAATGGCCAGGGGACATGTAAATTTCAGAATTACCTGGTGAGCACTCACCCCTACCGCCTTCACCAACCCTTCCCTTTCCAACCTTTTCCCCGATTGACTCGCGGAGTCACCATTCAGCTAAACCGTAGAATTTATGGGGGCATTCCCATCTATGATCAAGCGCGACTTAAAACCGTGATATATGTGATTCGGGGCAGCAATTCGAATGAGGGGAATTACGATTTTGGTTAGGTTTTCCATCGATGCCCATCGTCAGATATCCAGGTCACCCAAAAAAGTCCACAGGGGTCACTAAGGCCTAGCATTACATCGCCAAGAACCTCGTCCCATTGTTCACGCAATAGGCTAGAATATCGCCTGCGAGCGAATCTAAAGGAGTCGGAGGAGATTGGGTAAGGCCCATTTGTGGCGGGAAATCCCAGATTTTGGTGCATGGGCCGGTACATTACTCACTGGATCGTTTCCGCGTATGAATTTGGTTGCGTTGAAGGTGTGGGAAGATTGCATGATGGTGCAGGGGTTCTGCCTCTTCGTTCTCGTTAAAGATGAAGCGGGACTGATAAAAGCGGTCATTGGAGTCAGAGGAGCCGCAGAAAGTACGAATAAAAATCCAGGAGCGACATGGCTTCCTTGATCTTGCCGGAAGCCGAGAGACAAATAAGCAGTATTTCTCGGACCACCGAAGAGGGCATCCCTGCCTTCTACCGTGAACGCAATTGGTCCTTATTTAAGCTGAGGGTAGTTCATTTCCCTGGTTCTCTCCGATTCCAGTCGGTTTTTTATTCATGGGAACTGGGTTTCCTCGCAGAGCATCTGCCGGGACCAATTCGAACTGGAAAACCTGTACCAAAAGCACCAGATCCGACTCAGGCATTCCCGTTTCATCGTCTACCTCCTCGCTCAAGCCTTCCTCAGTTCCGTCACGATCGCGATGGAGTGCATCGCCCTCCCGGTGCGTAAGAGCGAAAATCATATCCTATATCCAGTGGAGGACGACCGAAACACGAAGGTCCTCTTGCCTCGAAGGCCGAAGACCTGGCGGAAGTGGTGATGACGCACGGGATCGTACTGGCTGTCTGCCTCCTTCTCCTCTTCTACATCTACAACGAGAAGCTCTTCCTCTCCTCGTCGCCTTCCCTCGGAAATCATTCGAAGCGCCTCGGAGATCCGTCGGTATCCTCGGACGAGAAGTCGCGGTCTTCCTGGGTCCCGAAAGCCAGCACCGCCTTCGTTTTCGTCCCCCTCTTCGCCATGCAAATCGTGATGGCCACGGCACACGCGTTAGTCGTTATCGCGCCCTACAATTCACTCGGCATCCAAGTGGCTTCGCGCTTCTTGTTTTAACTGTTCTTTTTTTCTTTTTCATCTGCAGGAAGTATATTCCCTTCCGCTTCGTGTAGCTTCGTGTATTTATGCTGACCCGAATTGTTTCTTTCGCAGGAATGGTAGGGACTTCACGACTCACTGGGATTGGAGTTTGTACATGGTGCTGGTGTGCTACATCTTTTTCCCTCTGAGGATGCCCGTCAGTGCGGTTCTTGCCATCGTCGTGTCTCTCGTCCCTGTTTTCACGTCGATCTTCGAGAAGTCGTCTCGCGAGGTCGGCGACCGGACCCGGAGGGTGAGTACGATCTCCGGCGGGAATGCGAGAATGATCCTTTTTGTGGATCTCACCGTATCGATCGGTTCGTTCAGGTGATGGTGGACTTCTTCGTGATGCTGGCAGGGAACGGCGTGGGCTTATTTTTCTGCTTCATGACCGAGATCGCACTCCGAAAATCCTTCCTGGACAAGAGAGAATTCATCGTCGCCAAGTGCATGAGGGAATACGAAGAAAAGACCGAAGTGAGACGAAATCGCTCTTGACCACCCACACCAGGTGTCCGTGTCGTTACGCTCTGTCTCCCACGGACGATGTAGAAACACCTGCTCTCGAGCATCATCCCGGCGGCGATGGTGGAGGAACTGAGGAAGAGCCTGCGAGAGGCCGTGGTCGCGAACAGACGAGACAAGGAATACTCCATCGTCCCCATCCTCCCGAGTCTCTCCGCGAAGCCGTACGAGAAGTTCGACGAGGCCGTCAAGGTGCGTCGCGGGATCCGCCCGTTTCTCTCCGCGCGCGAAAGGTCGGAAATGACTTTTTGTCTCTCGGTAGGAGTTCGACTGCCTTCGCATCAAACTCCTCGGTGACTGCTACAATTGCGTGTCGGGGGTCCCCGAATGGACGGAGAAGCATGCGGTCAACTGCGTGCTTTTGGGTCTCAAGATGATCGCCATCATCAGAGAAGTCCGGTGGGTTTCCTCGCGTTCCACTCGGCATGGCAGATTACCACGAGACTTGGTGCCGAGAGGAATCATGCAGATTCATATTCGAGAAAAAATGCGTAAGATGGATTGGAAGTACGGCCTGACTCGACATATGGCATTCGTATGAGAGCAGTTTGTGTGCCAAATTCATTGAGATCGATTAAGACTTTGCCTTGAGAAAAACGTGTTTTTGCCCGTTTCCACGCATGATATTCTTTAACTACTTCTTTAAGTCTTTTTCTTCTTTAAATTCTTTAAGTCACGATATTCTTTTCGTACTAGTAAACCCCTCGACTGGTTACGTTCGACTCTTACCTTGCCCGGATATGGGCTGAATTTTCCTCTTTTGATCATGGAGGAAAACGATTTTAGGAATTGAATATCGATAGTGCCATCAAGAACCTCCAGATGAGATTCAAGGGAGTTTGTGACTTGAGTCGTCTGGAAAAAAAAAAAAAAAAAACCGATGAAGAGCGTGGCATATGTTTGCTGCTTGGGGTTGCAGGAAATTCACCCCACCTTAGCTGCACCTGTACTCCTAGCCGTAGGTGTCGCCCTCGCAGATGTCGACGTAGGAGCCCGAGAGGTTCGACGTCAAGCTGTAGACCAGGTGCCTACGGTTTTAGCGGTTGGTGTTGGAGCAGGCCGGGCGACCCGGGTGAGGCTCGGTCTCGGAACGGTTTCGTCGATCGATGCATGAGGCCATTTTTTTTTCAACGGTTTAAGAAATTTCCAGGTGTGTTCACATCAGTGAGGCAACTCACGCGGCGTTGGGGAAGAAGCACCGGTTCTACTTCGAGCCGGGGAGAAAAGACAGTTATTTGGAAAAGAAGGGAATCGTCACGTTCTTCATCCCCCTGTCCCAAAATAGGCATCTCATATCGGTCGATCCATGCATCTCGACGGAGGAAATCATTTCTGTCCAGAGGCCAACGAGCAGTCAACCTTTGCTGCCGAACTCGTAAGTTGGGCATCGTCTTCCGCTGAGCTTCGAATCTGCCGCTCAGCTGGATTATTGAGGCTTTTCCAGCCCTACTGTTGTGTTTTTTTTTTCAAACAGACACGAGGCGATGCGAAGCGTACCAGACGGATTCCATTGGGTAAATTTTTTTCTATCTCTCCTGCGAGAATCTGATGGACACTATGCCATAGATGAGAGAAGTTTCGTTCCGAGATGACATTCTGGTGAAAGTCCGTTGCAGCAACGGAGATCAGAGAACGGAGCAGCTCTCGGAGGAACGAACCGCCGCGAGAACGACATCCTGGTCGCGAAGCAAGGCGCAAGCACCATCACGATGCTCATGGAAGAAGCCCAGACGAGGATGGAGGAGGACCTGGACAAGATGCCGCTCAGCATCCACGCGTGAGTTTCGGTCAGGCCTCTTCGCGATCACGTGGACGGACGGGGTGCGTGATTTCCCGTCCGCGCAGGCAGTGGCTCCAGTCCAAGGAGATTCAACCCACGTTCATAGCGTTCAGGGACTTGAAGCTGGAGTGGGATTTCATGAGACAGCCCGACATGCTGATCAAGTATACCGTGTCGGCTGCCACCTGTCTCGTCGTCTTCCTCGGCATCGTCGAGATCCTCTCCCGACCCGAGTCCGTGCTTCCACTCGCCTTCTAGATGTTACTCATTCGTTCGCTGAAGAAAGGGAACGATTTGCGAAATGCAGGACGGTGGGCATCGTGGCGTGGGCGATGGTCCTCTCGGTCATGCTCGCCATCACCTTCTGGGCTTGGATCGGATCCGTCTATGCGAAGTGGATGAGGTGGAAGGATTCCCAGGAGCAGCAGGAGCCACTCGTGTGGAAAAAGGCGCCTCGACGTCTCATCGTTTCGCCGTGGATCCGAATCCTGCTTTTTCTCGTCACCGGCTCGGGTGCCATTCTGGTCGCTGCCGTCTCCCACATCGTTCGATGCACGGAGATCGGCAAATGTGCATACACGAGGGTCGGCATCCGGTTCTCTGTCCTTTTCCCGTCGTTTCTTCGATGACTTCACGTTCCATCTCTCTCTCTCTCTCCAGTCTCTGACTCAGGAGTTCGCGCTGGTGCTGTGCACGATCTTCGTCTTCTACCACATTCACTTCCTGCTGAAGCTGGGTGCCATGGTGGTGGCGCTCGGCGTTTACGGGATCGTCGGCCGGATGCGTTTCCACGATCGTCCGTCTGAATGGAACGAAAATTCCGTTTCCCAAGAGGATTCATCTCTTCTCCCCCATCTTCACTATCTCGTCGTGATGTTCCTTCTCCTTCATATCATCGACCGTCAAGTATTCAAAGCCGTTCTCTCTCTTCTTTTTTCCAACTTCCTTTCTTCACGATGATTTGATCCCGCAGAGTGAGTACTTGTTCAAATTGGACTATAAATGGAAGAAAAGTCTTCCAAAGGAACAAGAAGAAGCGGAATTGGCGCGGGAAGTAAACCGGTCTCTCATATTCAACATACTGCCGACTCATCTGGGTGGGTTTCGGCCTGTCTTTCGGCTCCATGGATCGACCAGGCATAACCGCATGCATTTGCCTTCGCCCGCGTATCTGCAGCCGAAAGATACCTGCACCAGAAGCGCGAGAAAGAACTCTACCACGAGCGATACCAGTCCGCCGCCGTGATGTTCGCCACGATCCTCAACTTCTGGCCGGAGGAAGACGGCGGAAGGAGGCGGTGGGAGTCGGGCGCGGAGAACGACCCGAAAGCGAGGATCGAGGCGCTCGCGTTCCTCAACGGCATCATCAGCGACATCGACCGGGTACTTTCATCGCGTATTCACCGTAAATGATGGTCCTGTCGGGGGCTAGTCGCATGGGGGAATGTCTTACAAATACGATTATAAAGTAATTACTTTCATACAAATAAAGTAATCCTCCCACTGCAGCGCTCTATAGATCCTAAAGTAAACTTTACTACTCTGACTACTTACTTAATGACCACCAGGCCATTAAGTAAGTAGTCAGAGCGATATACTGCCTAAGCGATACAGTCCAGCGTGTTGCCATGGCACAGCTGTGGCGACTGACACACGGAGAATCGATTGCAGTTCGTACCAGACCTCGCTACCGTTTCCTATCATCTAATATTGAACATTAACAAGAAAGAAAGAAGGGAAAAATAGCAGGTTTTACATTAAAAATTAGATTAAATTAGGAACAAACACTCTAGAAGTGGCGTGTTCAATTTCAAGGATGTGTTTCTCCTATAAATTGAGCAATTTGTCTTAAAGTGAAACAGATTGTTATCGGTCAGGTGCCGCTGCACCCACTCCGGGTTCGAGTTCGGACGAGTCACGTGACTCGTTTCGCAGACCTGGTCCGAGCGAGACATGAGTTATTAGTGCCGCCATTCTAACATTTTGATGCGAACGACCCTCGCAGATGAAACATCGTACACGGAATCCATGCTTTCCAAATTGGTTAATCTATCTGATAGCATAAAACCAATTTCCACGCTTTGTCCCTCTCACGATTCCATCATTGATTCTATGGTTGCCGAAGTACCGATCTTCGTGCAGTGCAGCGACGACTCCTTTCATCTAACGGGCTAAATCAAACTAAACTGAGGTTAATCCATGTCGACATGTCTAAAAGATAGTTGGATTCGAATAATGATGAATATGACTTGCGTCTCATGCTTAGATGCAGCAATAAAACAGCACGAAAGGAACGACCGTCAGCAAAGTCCTCAATCCCTGAGAACGTTGCATCGGTGGACCATCGGTGGACCATCCGATCGGAGCTCTGAGAGCAAGTGCAGTAGACGCCGCTTATTGTGATCACGTTGGTGCAAGAAAAGTTGATAACATTATGCGGCTGATAACAATAACCAGTGATCGCAATAAGCGGCGCCGACCGTAATTGCAGACGAGCCAGAAAGATTTCCACTTGCAGTCGACGCTGTGAGAGGGCGGTCGGCACCGATGAGGTCTGTCGAAACGACGTTCGCTGGGGTCGAGGACGATTGCAGACGGCCAGCCCAAGGGAAATCCCGTACGGCTTTGTTTCGCTGAGTGATGTTTCATGCTTTGCCGCATTCCTTCACGAAAATCACAAATACAGGGTGGGCCAAAAAAAAAGCCCCAGATTTAAAGCTTCGTAACTTGGGCCTCGTTGGGCAATATCAATTTTAAAAAATGCAAAATGAAGGTATTTTTAATTTTCTTTCGAACGATATATAATTTTGGGGGGGTTTGCGGGAGAGAAATGGCCGCTATTACAGTTTAAAAAGAAGTGACGAAAAAATTTCCCGAGTTCTTTCCAACGTCGCTGCTGTCACTTGTTTCTCCCGCGCACCCTCTTTTCCCACGCGCTCTTCCATGATACGGATTGGTTGATGAGAGATCATGGGATCATGAGGCGAGTAACATGAGGCTGTTGTAGATCGTGGAGGGGGCCACAGTGAACCATTTTTGGGTCATTAAAAGAGTCTGTGAGCGTGTGAGTGGTCGAGGAAAAGGAACTTGGAGTGAAAGCCCATTTTCAATACATTTTTAGTCACTTTTAAAAAAACTGTAATAGCGGCTATTTCTCTGAAGCAAACCCCCCAAAATTATAAATCATTCAAAAGAAAATTAAACAAGCTTCGTTTTACTTTTTTTTAAAATTGATATTGGCCAAGTTCAAATTCTGGGCGCTTTTTTGGCCCACCCTGTAATGCGCGGTGTCTCACCTTTGTATCTCTGGCTGGAGGCTCGACTGATGAGAAGCTCGAAGTAACGTTCGCGGGTGCCATCATCTTCTTAAAGGGGATCTCGAATCCTCTTGCTTCGATCTCATTAAATAACAAAAAAAAAAAACTGGTCAAAAGTTATGCCTGGGAGTATTGAGACTGTCTGGTACGTGACTTCCTCGTTTCTTCCTACGAATCTCCGTACAGCTCCTGTACTCTTACAAGAGAGTGCAGAAGATCAAGCTGATCGGGACGACGTACATGGCAGCCGTGGGCCTGGAACCAGGGATCGAAGCGTACGTGGATTATCACGATGACGATGCCATGGCCACGCGCAATAGTTCATCTATGGTCGCCTTCGCCGTCGCCCTCATCGGCCTCATCAAGAAGCGCAATCGGGAAGGCTACGAAAATCTCAGTCTCAGAATAGGTAACCGAAATTAAGAGTAAGGCTGGGTGTGATGATCGATCGCACGATTTATCGATGGGTGGGGATGGATACCTAATGCAAACAGGGATGGCGTGCGGTCCTCTGATAGCGGGCGTGGTGGGAGCGGAGAAGCCTCTGTATGACATCTGGGGGGACACGGTGAACATGGCTTCCAGGCTGGAATCCACCGGAGAACGAGGGAAAATACACATACCGGAAGAAGTGAACATTTTCCTTCGACGCCGCAACATCTCTTCCACCTATCGAGGTTTGACCAAGATCAAGGGGAAGCTTCAGCGGATCCCCACGTATTTCGTGGACGTCGACAGGTTCATCGTGAAGAGACAGCACGTGATCGGCCGCGCCGCCTCGTTCGTTCCGGGTTCGTTCCGCTGTCTCGGCTCGAAGCATCACTCGGAAGGGAAGCCTTTCGGCGATCGGTCCGTGGGTCACGATAAGGAGAAATCGAGAAATAATGTTTTCCTAGGTTCACACGTAAGCAACGGAAGGCAGCTTCGCAGGGAGACGATCGAGCCGCTGGAGGATCTGAATGACCTTTACGACGTCCTTGAACTCGATGATTCTGACATTTTCGAGCATGAACGAACTCTTGACCAGGACTGAATAAAAGGAACTGATATTATCGTACAGGCGCCGATCTTTCCAATCCGAGCAAGCCGGAAGCCTTCATTCCTCATATTACAAAACTAGGCGAAACTATCACGAAAACACTCTGGCACTTGGAGTTAAACACTCAAGAATAAGGCAATCAAATGTGATGCTACAGAACGCAAATTGTTTGCAGATGAGGAGGAAGGGAACTTGGGGCAGAAGAGATGAAAAACGTTTCGAACAGAAATTTCGAGGGAAATGATATAATAGGCGGTGAGACTTAATTCTGATTTGGGGAAGGGGATTGCAATGAGGAATCTTTTGGATAGTTTCCATCTTCCTTCTCTTCTTCTATTTTCAAAGTGGAACCTAATAATTTTAGAGTCTTATTTAAAATAACAATACGATTGTAACAGATTCTTTACGTAAACTCATATACCACGTAGGTACATAAGGGAGTCTTACTTCTCGAGCCTTGTAAGCGTATATAGGACAGCTTACAAAAAATGAGAACATCTTCCCAGAGGGGTTCAACCCATACCAGCACATCTATACACGTAGAATTAGTGCGAGGAAACCGTCGCTTCTTTTTGTGTTCGTCGGCATATTTTTTTATGGATGGGTGAAGAGTTCCAACCGATTGCGCATGCGATGTCGCGTGAGTCGGTTGAAGATGACCGAGAAAACAGGAGTGGTTCTCCCCACGGATTTTGCTCAGTTTGCCTTGTATTCACCTTCCGAATCCAAGTGGGGGACCGTTGGAGCAGGGTAGCTCGGACACACAAACGGAGAAATTAATTCTTTTCGTGCATGAATAGAGGAGCAAAGCTTCCACGAGAAAAAAAAAACGCTTCTAAAGCAACCGAGTCCGGCGTTAATTATCCTGGTAATTATCTGGCAAATGGGGGAGAGAAGACCCGAGCACACTCTACTCCCTTCCGAAGTTTCTCAGCTGTGCCTCGGAGCCCACTGAACCCTGCGCGTCGCAGGTTGGATGCCTCGGTGAGACTCATGTAAGAAGTGGGATTCATCGAGATCGCATTCCGAAAATCCTTCCTGGACAAGAGAGAATTCATCGTCGCCAAGTGCATGAGGGAATACGAAGAAAAGACCGAAGTGAGACGAAATCGCTCTTACCACCCACACCAGGTGTCCGTGTCGTTACGCTCTGTCTCCCACGATGATGATGTAGAAACACCTGCTTTCGAGCATCATCCCGGCGGCGATGGTGGAGGAACTGAGGAAGAGCCTGCGAGAGGCCGTGGTCGCGAACAGACGAGACAAGGAATACTCCATCGTCCCCATCCTCCCGAGTCTCTCCGCGAAGCCGTATCGAGCATCATCCCGGCGGCGATGGTGGAGGAACTGAGGAAGAGCGACGCTCTCCGGCACCAGCGCTTGTCTGCTCTGTTCCTTATGAGGTAGCAGGGGTAGGAGGGCTCAGAGAGGCGCTTCGGCAAGCTCTTCCACAAGCGCGCCGAGGTGCTCTTGCACTCGTAAGAGAACGCGGACATCGTCAACTTCACGCCGCTCACCGCGTCCATGAACGAGGAGGATCTCGTGAGGCTTCTCAACGATCTCTTGCTCTTCAAGCTGCTCCGGCAGTTCCACGCAGCGCCCTAGGCGGGCAAAGAGAGGCGCGCGCTTTCCAGCCTTTACTGAAAAACAGAGAGCCATCCTCAAGCTGACGGAAGCGTAGTTTGAGGAGCCCGACTGCTACAATTGCGTGTCGGGGGTTCCCGAATGGACGGAGAAGCATGCGGTCAACTGCGTGCTTTTGGGTCTCAAGATGATCGCCATCATCAGAGAAGTCCGGTGGGTTTCCTCGCGTTCCACTCGGCATGGCAGATTACCTCGAGACTTGGTGCCGAGCGGAATCATGCAGATTCATATTCGAGAAAAAATGCGTAAGATGCAGTGGAAGTACGGCCTGACTCGACATATGGCATTCGTATGAGAGCAGTTTGTGTGCCAAATTCATTGCGATCGATTAAGACTTTGCCTTGAGATGAATGTGTCTTTGCCCGTTTCCACGAACGATATACTTTTAGCACTAGTAAACCCCTCGACTGGTTACGTTCGCCTCTTACCTTGCCCGGATATGGGCTGAATTTTCCTCTTTTGATCATGGAGGAAAACGATTTTAGGAATTGAATATCGATAGTGCCATCAAGAACCTCCAGATGAGATTCAAGGGAGGTTTGGGACTTGAGTCGTCTGGAAAAAATAAAAAATAAAAACTGATGAAGAGCGTGACATATGTTTGCTGCTTGGGGTTGCAGGAAGAAGTGGGGTGGAATCGACGTGGACATGAGGATTGGCATCCACAGCGGGAGCGTCTACAGCTGCATCCTCGGGCTCTCCAAGCTGCAGTTCGACATCTGGTCCACGGATGCCAAAATCGCCAACCACATGGAGCAGGCCGGGCGACCCGGGTGAGGCTCGGTCTCGGAACGGTTTCGTCGATCGATGCATGAGGCCATTTTTTTTTCAACGGTTTAAGAAATTTCCAGGTGTGTTCACATCAGTGAGGCAACTCACGCGGCGTTGGGGAAGAAGCACCGGTTCTACTTCGAGCCGGGGAGAAAAGACAGTTATTTGGAAAAGAAGGGAATCGTCACGTTCTTCATCCCCCTGTCCCAAAATAGGCATCTCATATCGGTCGATCCATGCATCTCGACGGAGGAAATCATTTCTGTCCAGAGGCCAACGAGCAGTCAACCTTTGCTGCCGAACTCGTAAGTTGGGCATCGTCTTCCGCTGAGCTTCGAATCTGCCGCTCAGCTGGATTATTGAGGCTTTTCCAGCCCTACTGTTGTGTTTTTTTTTNAGCTTCCACGAGAAAAAAAAAACGCTTCTAAAGCAACCGAGTCCGGCGTTAATTATCCTGGTAATTATCTGGCAAATGGGGGAGAGAAGACCCGAGCACACTCTACTCCCTTCCGAAGTTTCTCAGCTGTGCCTCGGAGCCCACTGAACCCTGCGCGTCGCAGGTTGGATGCCTCGGTGAGACTCATGTAAGAAGTGGGATTCATCGAGATCGCATTCCGAAAATCCTTCCTGGACAAGAGAGAATTCATCGTCGCCAAGTGCATGAGGGAATACGAAGAAAAGACCGAAGTGAGACGAAATCGCTCTTACCACCCACACCAGGTGTCCGTGTCGTTACGCTCTGTCTCCCACGATGATGATGTAGAAACACCTGCTTTCGAGCATCATCCCGGCGGCGATGGTGGAGGAACTGAGGAAGAGCCTGCGAGAGGCCGTGGTCGCGAACAGACGAGACAAGGAATACTCCATCGTCCCCATCCTCCCGAGTCTCTCCGCGAAGCCGTTCGAGAAGGTGTTCGCGCGGCTCCACGAGAACGTGAGCATTCTCTTGAGAATGAGAGAAATTCATGCTTTTCATGCATGAATAGAGGAGCAAGGCTTCCACGAGAAAAAAAAAAGCTTCTAAAGCAACCGAGTCCGGAGTTAATATCCTGGTGGGAGCAAATGGGGGAGAGAAGACCCGAGCACACTCTACTCCCTTCCGAGGTTTCTCAGCTGTGCCTCGGAGCCCACTGAACCCTGCGCGTCGCAGGTTGGATGCCGCGGTGAGACTCATGCAAGATGTGGGATTCATCCTCAAACTTTGAAATATGGAGCCGAAATTATTCCAGAACCTCTTATCCATATAATCAATCTGTGTATCATCTTCAAGAAAGTATTTGACACTGTTTCTCATGACATACTTAAAAAAAAAAAACTCAACTACCATGGAGTCCGAGGTATAGTACTACAGTGGTTTCAAAGTTACTTATATAATAGGTACCAGTATGTCGAGTTTGATGGAATTAGAAGCATTAAAAGATTAGTCAATGTGGACGTTCCTCAGGGATCTATATTAGGTCCTTTACCTCATATATGTGAATGATATGTATAGTATGAATCTTTGAGAGAAGGAGACTTAAAATTATATGCAAATAACTCAAATGTTTTCTTCTATGGGAAAATTATTTAGAGTTATCAACTAAAGTTGAGAAAGACTTAAACAATCCGAGCAGATGGATTAAGGCAAACCGGCTCACAATCAATATTTAAAAATAAAAAAAAACTAATTTTATGGTGATAGAAAGTAGGAAAAGTATTAGAATAGTTGGAGTAAAATTATCCTTGGATGGGAAAATTCTGCAAGAAGTAGATCTAATAAAGTATTTAAGGGTAATTTTAGACAGAAGCATTTTAGTGTTTGGGACAAACACATACACCAAATCTGCACAAAAATAGCTGTAATTAATGGGGTTATGAGTAAAGTATGCCATTTAATTCCATGGTTACTCTTAAGAAACATTTACTTCACACTAATCCATCCCCATATAATTTACTGCATATCAATATGGAGGTAATATATATCAAAAGTATTTGCATAATATAGAAGTACTTTAAAAAAAAAAGAAGCATTAGGATTATGAGCTTCGCAGAATATAGAGACCAAGCCGAAGATCTCTTTCTATTCTGGAGAATTTTGCCATTAAGGAAATTAATTCAGTTTCATCTTTGTCAAATCATTTTCCAAGAAAGTGTAATTCTTACTTTTAGAAACTTAAAGTTAACCCGGATTGCTGACCCCCACTCTTATGAAACTAGGGCATCTAAAGCAGGAAAATTTCAGATACCAAGAACAAAGACAAAATTTGCAGAACAAAATATCACACAAGAAGGACTAAGAAAATTTAATTTACTGCCTGAGTATATAATGGCCGCAAAATCAATTCAAATATTTAAAGCTAAATTATTATTTTCAAGAAAAGAATCCCCAATAGAAAACAGCTCCTTTCATACTGGTTAGACTGACCGGATTCCTGAAAAATCCAATAAATAAATAAAAGAAACCACAAAAACAAACAAAAAAGGCAATACATTCAATCAATCGAATAATATTCTTTTTTTGCATTCCAACCCGGCCATCCAGGACGAACCCAATAGGGTTCAATGAATTCAATGGGTTCATTGCTATTATTTGCTTCTTTCCCCCCCCCCCCCTCTCTCTTTTATTTAATTATTTATTTATGCATTGTCTTTCATTTTTGTCATTGTCTTTACCTTCATCTTTGTTCCTTATATGCAAATATGTGGAAATATATTCAATTTCATTCTATTCTACACTCATGGTACTTTACAGTGCGAATAAAATCTCTTCACTAACAGATCAGACTTTAGAAAATGCGTCACAGAATGGACTAATAATAGAGAGTCTCATGCCCGAATCCCTAGATCTCTGCTGCCCTGGCCAAACGCGGCGAACCTACAGGACTTCCTTTCTAGGCCATAGGCCAGGCGGAAGGACCCAAGTTCATGTGATTGTGGGACACCATATATGCATGTTCAAAGGACAGCATACGTTTAACACCGAGCTGCCCCCTCTTTCCCCAACGAATGCAGGATGTATGAGATCCGCCATCGACGCGAACATATCTACTATCTCAAGGGAGATACGATGAATTCCCGGAAAAACTTTCAAGAGGGCGACGTTGCAGGCTTGAAAGGTATGCGTTGAATGAATCCCCCAATTCGACAGTGTTACGTGACTCCAGTAAAAAGTAGATATTTTAAAGGCAATTCACATTGTCACTCAGCATTGGGGAAGTAAAAATTTCCTTTCGAAACACAAAGTCCTTGTACGATCCCGCGAAATAAGAGCCTTAAGATGTTTGTTCCCTGAAAATGGAAAGCAGTGAGGCCCAATCTTCTTTCGCCACCTACTTTGGTGGGTTCGGCGAGCTCTGGTGGGATCGCCATCAGCTGTCATGCCGCTTTGGCTCGTGCGACTTTCAAAGGATCTCAAGTGTCTTTCGAGAAAACCACGTCCACCAACAATGTCTGTAACGTCCTCAAATTTTTTCTATGGTCTACCTTGAGTTGAAGCCACAAGTGTAAGCTTCATGAAACGGACGTGAAGTAGTATCACTACGGTAGTAGCATGGAATAGTAATTAAAATCTTACGCAACAACGAAACGGTCCATCGAAGAAGCCTCGAGCCTCACAAAACAGAATGGACTTATCACGTGAAAGATGGAGAAAGCTAATGAGAGTTGAACTCGCCGTTTCTTATCGTATTAGGTGTATTGATTGATTTTTCTATTAAAAACTATCAGTCTCCGGTTAACTATTTAAGAGATTCTAGAGGTTATTTATACCCTCATGAAGAAAATAGTCTCTCGCGTTGTTCGCTATTTTCATTAAATGAAAAATTGTTTCTAGGTACACATTCTCTCATGTCCCCAAACGAGGGCATCATAATTTATTTCAGGGAAACTGTTAAAATTATATATAAATAGATCATCTTCAGAGGTGAATTACATCGCAGCAACAGCCTGGTTCAGCAGCTACTTACCAGGGAGCATGGGCCATGTGAATGGATTTTTTTTTAATGCGCTTCCCTTAAGAGGAAGTAGACCAATAAGTGAAAATCATCCGCGGAGATTACTCGGCAGAGGTATCTCCAAAGTCATTAAAATTAAGGTTAAGAAGAAGTAATCATGGACAGATAATCAGGGATGTATCTGGGCCTCTTCTTTAAATATTTAAAGTTCTGTCACGACTCCGAGATATCACTATCACGTGTGTTTTTTCTGCCAGTAAAAATTATCTTACCAAATATATCTCAGTATCTCACCGTATACATACGCAGTATATGCGTGGTACTTCACGGAATGAAGATGGTGACTTCGTAATGCACAGTATCTACATGAGAAGACCGAGAATGGATGAAATGGTAAATATTGCGACCTTAGGAGTTGACGAGAATCGAGACTCGTGATGGTGAGAAAAAATTCACAGGTTATTTATATGAAATTTACAGTAACGGTAGAAAGCATTGAACGCTTGCAGCGTCAAGGACACGTGTGGGTAGGGAAATTCATCGTCGACTGCTGACAGCATGGCTTGGGCGAGCAGAGGAATAGAGATGGTGAAGTGGAAGGCCCAGGCGATGTCGGCCCAGGCGATGTCGGCCCAGGCGATGTCGGCCCAGGCGATGTCGGCCCGATCATTGAGTCGGTCCAGTGCGACACGAGACGGAATCGAAACGATATGTTCATTGGGAAAGTGGAGCTGCGATAGTGGCCTAAATCAGGAATGGAGAAGTTTGATCGCGATTTCTCTCAGCAAAAATCCCAAAGGCAATATGACCTCTCAAGAGCCGATTTTGGCCTGAAACCCGTAGCATCGCTTTAAGAGGGAGATGATTTCAGGGCAGAAGTTGTTCAGACGAGGCTGCAATCTCTGCATTATCTCTTGAAGATATAGCGATGGTATTCATGACCTATTCCTGAATGGAAATAAGCGAGGTGCGTAGATCCACACGACATCCACATGCTTGGAATCAGATTTGCAGCGCATAGGTGCCAGAACGTGAAGAAATGATTTAGCAGTTGGTATCGAATAAGTTTCCGAT